GCGAGGATTCGTGTGAGTATGGCTGTTACAACATCGAGACTTGCCGTGGTTCCATTAGTTACATTGTATGGGCCTGAACTTACCCAGATTCGCGTAAATCGAGTCTGAGGTGGTCGAGGCGGCCGGCTGCCAGGACGACGAGGAAGACGAGGACGAAGACGCGGAAGACACGGACGACGGGGACGACGATTTCGCGGAGGACTTGTCGCTCCTCGACGGAAGCTGCTTCGTCTCGACGCGCGGCGGCGGCGGTCGGACCGGTTTGCTCGCTGGATCCAGTCTGGACCAATCCTCCAGGGACTGGTTGCGCGGCGGCGGCGGCGGTTTGCCCGGTCTCACTGTAAACCACGCCGAAATGTTCCAAACACCTTCGAATTTTCAACGTTTTCACCGTTCGCCTTTAACCCTTTGCCGACGAATGTCGGCGTTTTGCCGAGATCAAACTTTTATATTTTGAATACTGGTTTGCGAAGGAATGACTTAGTAACTCGAATAACAAGGGAACGGTGCATAGTTTCCTTTTTCTCTATTATTTAAGCATTTATGTAATTTGGCCGAGTCTGCTGAAAGTTTCGTGTTCTTTGAAGAATCTTCAAAAAACTTGAAATAGTATAGTTCTATCCCTTGATTTCTATATTTTTTGTAATAATATTAACCCTTTGGGACGAAGGTTCTTTGAAATGTACAAAACTTTCGACAGATGAAGTTAAATTATATATCGATTGCTGAATTAATCGGAAAGTAGGAATCAATCTCTTGCTGTTTCACTAATTAAATCATTCGTTCGCGACTTAGTTTTCCAAATATGGATCTCACCGAAATGCCATCTTTCGTTTCAACTCGGAAACTGAATATTTTGACAAAACCAAATTTTAAACAGCGCGATCGTTGCATTTTGTCGGTTCCAAACGGGTAATAAGAAAAACAAGAATGAATCATCAGAAGGAAAAGAAATGAAGTTATCGCATGTTTTGTATATGATTCGAAAACAAAACGGCCGAAAATCTCACCCAAGTAATCTTCATAGGTAAATGAAGAACCCGGGTTCGTCGGATTGTGCTTTGGGTCGTTAGGGTGGAAACATGCTCTGCAAGTTAATGCTGTAGTAATTAATGAAGGTCTAGGGGAACGATTACTGCGAAATATAATTATACCGAACTTCGTTTTCTCGGAATCCACGTATAAAAGTGAGAAACAGTACAGAGAAGGGTAATTAACCCTGTGATTTATGAGTTTCTCTCTGGTGCATGAGTCAGGGTTGCTGGGATATTAACAGACTTCCAGAAGAAGATACTGCCGGCTCTACCGTGCGGTAGAAACATTGATATCACGCGATGCGGGATGAACAATATCGCAAACGCGCCGTCTGATGATCGCATTTCCAACGGCGTTAACAGCGTTTTCAAGGAATGCAGCGGATTTTTCATCTGACTCGAAAGTGTCTCGCCGTTTTAACCGTTTTCCCCGTTCGATTCCTTCTATTTCATTCTGAAATTCTTATTACCCGATAATCAACTCGCTAATGAATCTCCCATCGTACACATTTTCGGAAGAAACTACCAAATGGATGCGTCAAGAACTAACCCTTTGCAACCGACAATATTTTTGATGACATTCGTTATTTTCCGACGAAATATTAACATTATTGCAACTGCATAAAGGAACATCTTGCATAAATAATCAGGCAGAATTGTTTTACTTCTATGCTATGTTAACCCCTTGTTCTACGAGTGAGACTCGTGAAGATTTTCAGCATGATTCAACAAATATGTATATTACTTAGTTAATTCGAATTCAAAGTAAACATTATTCCTCTATAATCAACTATTACACTTAAATGAAAATATAGGCATAACATATGCTTAGAATCTTTCTCCTTTTCCAATAAACTATCAATGACAAAGTAGCCGTTGAAAGTTGAGAAAGAAATCATAGGCCAAGGGGTTAATACCTATTCAACATTTCATACTGAATTCTTCATTTCACAATTTCCCTACGACTGAGTCGCTCGAGTGCAAAGGGTTAATTACTCAGAATCCTCGAGAATCCCCTAAACCCTTCAAGCCAAAGAATACAATCGAAGATCGGATAATCCTGACTCAAGAGAATCGCAGTTTCATCAATTTTCTAGAGTCCTCATATCCCTAAAACCCGCATCACTCGACAACCGAGTATCCATCATCATACTCACCGGCAGCTTGAGAAGCTCCAGAGGACAACGGCGACCTGGTGGTCCTCGCCTCGTTCCTGTTTCCGCAGGAATCGGGTTGATCTTCGCTTATCCTGCTGATCCGGTCGTTGCCGACTACTTCGACGGCCGCGCCGTCCAGCTCCAGCGGATGGATGATCTCGAGCCTAGGCTTCGGCTGCGGCGTGGACGGGATCTCGTCGATCCTCGAGCCGGACGCGTGTCCTCCGACCATGTCCACATCCTTCCTGGAGCCCATCCTCAAGAACCTCTTCAACGAGAACCTAGACCTCCCCCTCTTCTTCTCCTCCCTCACTTCCTGCCCGCTGGTCAGGCTATCCTGCGACAGGGATATCGTCCTCCTGGAAGCAGGATCCGAGTTCTGCGCGTTGGTGGGATCAGGCAAATCCGAGACAGCTTTCCTGAACTTGGGGCTGCAGGAGGAGGCTCTCTCCCGCTTCTCCTTCTCCCTGACCACCGGCGAGTCCGACTTGAAGGTCACGATCGGGTTCCTGGCGAACAGCGAGGAACTCGGCGCTAACTCTTCCACCGAGTCGGCCGGAGGCTTCGGCGCCATTCTTCTTTTGTTCGAACGCGTCGACTCTGCGGCTGTCACCTGAGATTCTGAACCTTCTTCTTCGTCCAGGTCTTCGTCTAGGACTTCCGGACTCCTGGCTACGCACGGTGGCGCCGGTTTCGAGTTGCCTGGCGTTTTAGGCGCAGATTCGGGAGGTTTCGAGGATTCGAAGTCTTGAGTGTGGAGAGTGTTCGGCAGGCGAGCGTGATCTTTGGGGATGATTTCGTTCGAGGGGATGAGCTGGTCAGCGATAGGCTCGTCGCTCTTGTCTTTGCTGGCCGGATGGGGACCGCTCGTCTGCTCCTGGGGCTGCGGGCCACTCGCACCTGAGAATTAGTCGTGATCGTGGGTAATTGGATGGCGCTGCGGGACGGTCGCTCGGCTCGCTTCTGCTAATTACAGGAGCGGATTAACCGACCCATCGATCGCCTTATGAGTAATCACGGTATCCCGTTGCTGGCCGGCGCACCCGCGGCTGGAGCACTCTGAATGGGATTGATATTAGAGGGAGGCTAAACGGTTTCTGAATTTTTCTAGCTGTTGTCTCGTTAACCCTTTACTGTCGGGCAATTGATTCGTGGAGACTTCGTTTAACACTGGGACGAGTGATTAAATTAGATGTAATTTTTCTGTGGCAACTCCATGGTGTCTGGTGGAGTTTCGATCGATTTAGGATATAGTTCGAGTGAAGATACGTTATTAGTGGAAGATTAAAGAACATTTTCAATGGTCGCTTTAATTTTAGATAACCGAGCAAGGAACGTTTTATTTCGGCACGAGGAGATAATGTATCGTCGTTTGAGGGGGTGAGAAACAACTGTAAGCACGGGCGCAATAAGGAAACTAACAAGAGCGGCTGCACGAAAGCCGGAGGAGATTAGGTCACGAATTAACTTAGGGAATATCGCGTCGTTCAGTCTGACTCTTAATTATGCGAGGGAAATTCGTTACGTTAATAGCGTTTTAACGCGAAATTATATTCCTGGAGACAAATCATCAACTTCAAGTGCAAGATGTTAAGAAGTGGTTCGTTGGATTTGTAATTATGGTAATCGTGGGCATTGTGTGTTAAATGTCAGGTTCTATTTATACCGTAGGAACAACAATAAGGATATTTAGAGCAGAGTTTCATCGAAATTTTCAATTAATCTCAATTATTAACAATGTTCAATACATATACAACGATCTTATCGAATGCACCCTATGAAGGGTGAACCGACGAAGTTCTAGAATTCAGGAAACTGAACGATGGCGTCATCTAGTGGCGACATTCCTAAGCTTCCCAGTCAAGGAAAACTCAAGCTGCGAATCTCGAAATAGCAAACATTTTCGTAAGAATTTTCTTGGCAACGTTTAAGGACAAGATAGAACTAAGAACAAACTTCCATGAAACGAACGCTTCTCATTATCTTCGATCGCAAATACTAAGATGAAAAAATCTAGTGTTCACTAATGAGACAGATAAGAGACGAGGTGGAAGATTACGAAGATTCTCATGGAGAACTCGCATTTACATTCTACAAAATGCAGATAAACTCTGTCGATTCCATTTCGCGTGACTAAAATGGCCCTCGAACGACGTATCGGTTCGGCCGGGACCAAAATTCACCAGAGGAATACCGGAATAACGAGCACTCGCGAGCTTTACAATCTCTGTTCCAATGAAATTCCGATGAATTCTATCGATCACTTGACCAACATGGTCGTTGACCGACATTAAAGATCGGTACGCCCAATTCCGGGCGCAGTTAGGGCCATTTAGGGTTGAATAGCGGCCCTCGGAGTACCTCGAGCTACCGCTTAGACCTCCATCAGAGAACTAAACGAGAGAAATAAATAACGAACAAAATATATTGAAGTTGTCCGACGTGTCCGGAAGTTTTCTTTCGGCGATTTCACGGTCAGATGTGGCAGAAAAACTTGTCAGCGTGACTCTCCCGAAGTTCGCCGAGTAACGGCCAGCGATTTTTCGAGAATAATACGCGCTCAGACGCGTGTCCTTGCAGACGATATTTCAAGGGGTCGTTAATAACTTCATTAGCGACCCCTGCCCTTCTGACTCGCCATTAACCCCACAGAAGTCAGGAAAATGCCATCGTGTGTACACGGTTCGGCGCGCGATTTTTCCCGAAGTGTGTAGGCTGCGAAAATGAGTTCGTGTCAAGGCTGAACTTCGGTAAACTGTAATAACCAGAAATACCCTCGCTCATCTAATTCCGCTAAATCCGACGATCTCCGTCCACCCTCGAACAATCTTAACCCTTAGCACTCCAGGCTGTTTTGTAATCTATCAGCAACTGCTAATTTTTATAGTATTCCCAGCGAAAATTAGAAATGCTATAACATTTCATGGATCTTTTATTTTCCTTAGTACAGAATTTGGATGTGTGGAAAATCGAATAATTTTAGGGTAGTTTCTTTGATTCATTAAAATATTTGATATTACAACTGATGCAATATTGGAGCCTACAGAGGTCAAAGGGTTAACACTATTCCTACCGCGAGCAGTCAAATGACTGTTCTTAAAACTTCGATTAGAATTCCCTATAGACAACGTAATTGTATCGCCTTTATACTTCACGACTTTTCCTAAAATATATGTATAAATTTTTCAATATTCATATATTTGAATGAAAGGATCAAAGCGAAACGAAGAAGAATTACACGTTTATGTGAAAAAATGAAAAATTCATCGCGAAAGAATTAGTATCACGTCAACCATTACGATGACGTGTATACTCGTCTAACACAGTTAACTGCTTCTTAATCATCATTTAACTGATCGCGGTAGGAATAATGTTAAACATCCACCTTCCAATCATCATCATCCCAACACCACCTCCCCCCTAATCCAAAATCAACACCCAAAACAAAGAGACTCGCACCTGTCGCACTTCTTCCTCCTTGCATCTTCGCGTGGTTCTTCGCGTCGGCAGGTGGATTCTTCGCGAAGTTGATCGGTTTCTGCGGAACAACAGGCTTCACCTTCAGCTCCGCGTTCACGGCGCCGTGGAGGAACGACGGCCTGGGCTCGGTGACGATGATCGGCTTGTCGGCTTGGAGGATCGGCCTGGCCTCGATCAGCGGCGGCGGGCTTCTCGGAAGCGCCGGTGGCTCCGTCATTTCCTCCTCGTCCGCTTTGCCGTCCGGCTCCCCGGCCAGCTCGCGGCTCTCCTCGCAGCTGAATTTCTTCGGCTCCTCCTCGAATTTACGGGGCTCCATAGAAGAGTCCTCGTTGCCCGTGGACACGACGATCTTAGCCGGCTCTTTTCCACGCAGCATGGACCTGTCGCTCTCGGCCGCCTCCTCGGCGTCGCTCCTCGTCAGCGGCGTCAACGTTAACTCGATACCCTTGTCCGACGAGTCGCTCTTTGATCTGCAGTACTCCGTTTTGGACCCGTGGCTCTGCGCGGGGATCTTCGGCTTCTCGGCGTCCGGCTTCTTGATCGCCGGACTGCGAGCGATGCTTCCGGCCTTCTTGTCCGGCTTGCCGGCGTCCGCGGACGATTTCTCCTTCGTGTCCTCGTCGTTCCGCTGCATCACGGGGATGAAATTGTTGGACGTGATCAGCGGCAGGTCGACGATCTTCTCCATCGAGGAATACTTCTGGTCCTTCCTGTCGTCCTTCTTCGCGTCCGCTTCCGGCTTCTTCGCGGCTTTCAGCGTCGTCTGTGGAGGACGTCGATGTACACGTGGTTTTACTCGGACGTACGTTTTGATCGTGGATGTTAGTTTATTTAATAAGACAGTTTTGGTTATATTGATTGGTAGTTTTAATAGATTACATGCAAGTTACAATTCGGTTGTGTGTCACAGGTATACATAGTTCTATAATTCTGTAGTATCGTAGTTTTAGGATAGCGAGTGTAAGGGTCGTAAAGGAGAAAGACTCATGGAGACTCAGTTTTCACAGGTGTGTTCGTTTGTCAAATTGTAGTAAGTGGTTAACTCTTTGCGGACGAAAATTGTTTAAAATATAAGAAACTGAAGGCAGATCATGCGGAATTGCGCATCGAATGCTTAAATAATAGAGAAACAGGCATTTACTGATATCTTGCTGTTTCGGTAATTAAATCATTTACATCATACATTCCCATCACATGAATATTAGCTCACAAGGCTAACCTAAGCCAAACAAAAGCTTCTCGAAGCGTAAGAGTGTACAGTGTCCGATATCAATAGCGAGTTAATTAGAGCAAGAACGCGGCGAATATCAATCAGAACGCGGCAACCGGCTGGTAACTGAAATCCGTCTCACCTCCGATTTATCACCGTTCTCGTTGATCTTGTGCTTGGCCGGGCTCGACGATCCGTTGACGAATCCATTGATCTTCCTGTCCGCGGGCCTCCTCGCGGTGGGCAGTGTCTCGTCGCCGCCGAACGGCGTCACCGAGACGAGCAGAGTGGTCTTCTTGCCCTCCGAGTCCTTTTGTATCCTGCCGAGCATCAGCGAGGCGAACGACCTCGTCGACGACGTCGACTTGCTCGCCTCGTTCGCGGCGACCACCGCGGTCAGCTTCGCCGTGATCGTGTTGAAGTTCGTGTTCGCGCGCGTCAGGTTGCCCAGCGCCCGTTCCTCCTCGCTGTCCGGCGGGGGATCGTCGTCCGCGCCGAACGACTCGCCGTAGTCCTGCTCGTCGTCCTCGTCGGCGTCCGAGAGGAAGTCGTCGCCCCCGTAGCCGATTATCTCCGTCAGGCATTCCGGGAACGCGACCGTCTTCTTCTTCTGATCCTTCTGACCGGTCGCCTTCCCTCGGAGGATACCCTGAAACCATCGACTGCATGAGTATCCGAATTCTTCGGGGTGGAATCGAGACACCCGGTAGAATGTTCGAAAGTTCTCCGATGGAATATAATTCGTTACTCTATGGAGATATTTATACGTTCACCCTTTGCGGACGAAGAGTCTTTCACCCCTTGCCCTACAACGAGTGAGACTCGTGGTGAAGATTTGCAACATGATTCAACAAATATATATATTACTCAGTTCATTCGAATTCAAATTAAATATTATTCCTCTGTAATCAACTGTTATACTTGAAAGGAAATATAGGCGTAACATATGCTTCGAATTTTTCTCTTTTTCCAATAAATTATTAATGACAAAGTAGCCGTATCGATCAGAGTTGAGAAAGAAATCGTAGGTCAAGAGTTTAAAGTACAAAGCTTGCAACATATGAAGCTAAATTATACATCGAATGCTTCAATAATAGTGAAAAACGGAAGTATACACTGATCACTTGGTATTCGAGTAATTAAGTCATTCGTTTGCAACTTGGTATTCTAAATAGAAAAATTTCATGGAAATATTTATATTCACCCTTTGCGGACGAAGATTCTTTGAAGTACAAAGCTTGCAACATGTGAAGCTCAATTATACATCGAATGCTTCAATAATAGTGAAAAACGGAAGTATACACTGATCACTTGGTATTCGAGTAATTAAGTCATTCGTTTGCAGCTTGGTATTCTAAATAGAAAAATTTTATCTGACTGAAATGTCGACATTCGTCCGCAAAAGGTTAAATTAGTTTCAATCTATGTCGTCTTTATCTCGACGGAAAATGTCTGATATTTCTACTGAGAAACTTCCGAGTGCAAAGGGTTAACACAGTTTTAATATTAAATGTTTTAATGAATTTGAAGAAAACTACCTTAAGATTATTAGATCTTCCAAATATACAAAGTTTGTACTGAGAAGGGAATTAAAGGTCTAAGAAATGTTATAACATTGTTAATTTTCAGTGGAACTACTATCAAAATTGATAGGAGTTGCTGACATATCACAAAACTATGTGGAGTGCTAAGGGTTAATTCTGAAGATAGAAATTAACACATTGCGTACGGGCTGATTACCAGAAAATTAAATTGTGCGGATTTTCGAATTCGAATTTTAGTAGTGCAACTGTTGAATCATCGTACATAACTTTACCAGATTCCTCATTCTGTGTTAACCACTTTCCTAGATGAATGATTCAATTAATAATCTTCATACATCACACTGATCACTGAACTGTTCCAAAAATTCCGAATTTTCCATAGAAGTTGTAAAACTGGTAAAACATGTCATCTACTTAAACAAGAAGTAAATCATGGTTTATCATTCCTCAATTTATCTCGCAATCAGTCCACGCCTATTCGAGCCTATCATCTCGCGTCCGAGTATCACGAGCGTAATGAAGCCATATAGAATGAGATACATATAATAATTCGAGGGAAACTCGAAGAAAACGAAACAGGAAGAGAGGACGCACGGCGATCCACCTGGCGCCGTCAGCCTGCAATTAAACAGCAATCAAGCATTCGCCGTATCTATCGGCGGAATGAGGCTACACTCGCGCGGCTCTTACCCGAAGACACGGTCTGATTCGAGGCCACCGCCTCGATCCGCGGACGTTTATGCAAATGTCGATCCTAGACAGGATGCGGCCGCCGCTTCATCCATCAATCCTCGGCTTCATTTTCCTCGCGCACCGAAGGGAACTTTCCCTGGACAACCGATGGCCGAGCACGAGCCGAGCAAGCAGGTGCAAATTAAGAGCAGCGACGACGCCGAAGAGATATCTCCGCGAATTCTCGTCCAATTTTCAGATTTCCTTTCGTTCCGACACCTCGGAATGAAATATCGCGCGAAGGAACGTTGGCTTAACCAACTTGGTATCGTCCGGAGCCCCCGGTAATCCCGATCGTTCGGAAATCCGAGGGAATACTATCCGGGATCTGTTTAAGGGACCGCCGAGGCGGCGCTGACGGCCGGCGCTCTTATCGTCCGCCGCCAGGAAATGAAAGTTCAGCCCGGAAGTCGAATCGAGCGCGGAAAGTCTATTTTTCAACCCTTCCGCGAAACTTCGCCGACTGCCAGCTGGCGTTAATGAAAGCTCTGTTGAATAATTTCACGGGTATCCTTGGAATCTTGCGAACTGCGCGCGGGTGGATGAATAAAGAAAGAGTTAATACGCATTCTGGGGATTTCTGAACTTTGATGAGGGAAGATTAGGCATTGATACTGTCGGATGAGATTAACTATCTGTTAGGTGTGGTTGCCACAATGGTGATTGAGCTTTGTAGGCGTTTGCGCGTGGTGTGTCGATGTATAGAAACTATAGAAAAGAATATGAAAAGGTGAAATAGTATATAAAACTATGTGAAACTATATAAATCTGCATAAAACTATATAAAACAATATAAAAAGGTAAAATACTATATAAAACTATATAAATGATCGGGAACAAAACTTAGAAATGAGTAGGTACTAAGGTAAACTTGATTCTTGTTGTGACTTGCTATGTGGGAGGCTATAATTGGCATTAACCCTTTGCACTCGAGAGGTGACTCTCACTCACCACTTGATTTCATACAGTAAAACTATAAAATTCGATATTTGATATTATACCTTATACAACGCATCAATTTGAGAAATATTGAGATAAACTAGCTTTGTTCTTCAATGTACATGCGATTTCGCTTCGAGTTTCACAAAATATCGTCTTTATCTCATTAGAAAATATTAAAATATTTCTAGAGAAAAACTTCCGAGTGCAAAGGGTTAACACTATCAACGATGATAGTTTTATTTGGTACAGATCAACTATCGAGTAACTCGAAAAGCAGTTTTACCTCGCTGATTACCGAAGTAGTTACTGAAAAGACAGATTCTCCGAGAAATCGCTAGAAATCCATTCAAACGTACTCGAACCGGGTTATAAATCGATAGAAATCTCAACAAGACTGAGTTTCCACGGAAAAAACTTCGTCGACTCGATTTGTCTGCTCGGTAATTCCAGTATTAATCTTCGTTCAACTGTTCCTTTCGTTTGGACACTTTCCCGTCTTTCGATATTCAACCTGATTTGCGTGCACATCAATCTGGTGAAAGGATTGCAACGGAAACCTTTCACTCGAGGCTAGTTAAAACCACCCTCCTCGAAGTTCCCGCGAAAAGAAGTTGTTAAGGTTATTATTAACCACTTATAGCCTTGCCGTTTCGTTCGAGCCCTTAAACCACCGTAGTTTCAGTTTCGTATACACTTTTCATCTTTCCTAAGACTTAGCTGTACATTCGGTAATTTTTCGTAACAAGAGCCTTCGTCCCGAACTTGCAATCGTCCTTAAGTATTACGATAAGGGACCGTGGCAGCCATAAATCCCTGAACCCATAAGGCCCGCGATTCTTGCTGTAGATTTTCCTTGTCTATTGTTCGCATCTGGCGTCCAGTCGCCAGCATTTTTAACTCTCTAGCCCGTCCGTTAGCGTGCGTTATCAAGGCCAAAGCGTCTCTTGCTTTTTACCTGCCACTGTCGACGATTGCAAACGGGACGAATTTGTTATTAACATTAGCAACCAGGAAGACCCAAGAAGGGAGGGCACTGTCTCCCTTCCACAACCATCTAGATCTAAACGAAGCAAAGACGACATTGCGGAGGTGTCGAAGACGATTCTGGGACGATAAATACGAAATCACCAGACAAGATATTTACAATAATTTCACTTTCTTTTCGATTCCTTTATTAATTGCACAGATTTTCTTCGTACCCCGATTCTACTGTATTTCCATGGAGCAACGAATTATATTCCATCGGTTCGTTTTTATCGTTCTTATCGAGAATCGTAGCTGCGACGTGAACGCGGTCCAATTCTAAATTTACATGACGCCGCGCGTCCACGTCAGCCGGCGACAAGGGTGGACGCTTAATCGTCTAACGCGCGTCGTTCCGCGAGGGTACGGAACGCGTGGGCGCAGCGCTTTGAAAAGACGAGGGCGCCGGCGACCGCCCACGCGAGCCACATTTTTATGGGTTTCGAGAAAGGTGGAACGGGGATAACAGGGACGAGGGACGCCTCGCTTTCTTTCTATATCTGGTTTTTACTGTCTCGGCTGTTCGGGATGATTGAGGTCCTTTCTTGCCGCGGCAATGGCATGTTATCAAGTGTAATATGTTAGGGGGAATGCGAGGCGAAAGAGGAATTCTGTTTTATGGACGGTTAATGTGAAGGTTTTATTTGTTTGAATGTATCCACGCTATAACGCTCTTCTTGCGTTGTGCCAAAATTGCGGAGGATTCTGTTTATCAGTGTCAATTATAATATTCTTACTATACTGTTCAAGAGAGAAATCAAAGTAAATTTATTTGAATAAACGTTATCTTTTGATATTTCTTTGTAATACAATATTTGTGATCTCATTGGATAAGTACTCTTATTGATTCTTTTGCTTGTTGCTGATAGATTACGAAACAACCTCGAGTGCTAAGGGTTAATATTCATCACGTGCACGAATTTCTTGAATTCCAAGCTTGGAACAACAAAGAACATTTCCAAATTCAGTTGCAGGGACATTAAAGGATTGATCGAAGAATCGAACGTTCCCTTTATTTCCCATTGAAATTAGCTTTCTACCTCTCCGACAGCGAGAGAACGTGCAACTTTCGTATCCAGTACAGAAAGTTGCCAGTAATTTAGTCAATCGAACACTAAAAGATCAGTTCCTGCTCTACAATCTATCAAATCGCACAGCGTTTTACGAGCGTTCAGGTTAGTCGGATAATTAACCCTTTGCACTCGAGAGGTGACTCTCAGTTGCCACTCGATTTGACACAGTGAAACCATAGAACGTGATATTTAATGTTAAATTATAATAATAAAATATAAAACAGCTTTGTTCCTCAATGTACCGGTGATTTCTCTTCGAGTTAGTCTCAAAGAACACAGTCTTCTCGTAAAGAAACGTTAAATATTTCTAGTAAGAAACATCCGTTTGCAAAGGGTTAAAATTGACAGAGATCTATAGAGATTTGAATTAGAATTGATAGTGTGAATTTCTTTGGAGCTCTCTTAAGTAGAAATATTTGGGATTGTATTATGGTTTGAATGAACGTAGAAAGAGATATGAATATTCATAAGTGAAGATTAGATATTTGTGAGACAGAGTGCAAAGGGTTAAAGAGATCTTCATCAGCGAAGCGTTAAATATTCTCAGCAAGTCGGCGAGTCGCGTCGGGTCTGTCTTTACGGTAAAATGCCGAGGTTTCTCGCCGAGAGGATATCCAAGTATGTCGATAGCATCCGGCGAAAGGACGGGAGAGCTTCCCGGCCGCCGTAAAGCGAAAAGCGGCTCGGGAAAACGGAAAAACGAGGGAAAGCGGCCGGCGGAGGGTTCCAGAAAGTTGTGTCGCGCTTTTGTCGAGTCGTCCGGCCGGAATTCGCGGTGTCGCGTTCGCCGACCGGTGTTATGAAATTCGAGCGAAACCGAACGACACGAGCGATTTTATCGGTTCGCGTTGCCGGTGGGTCAGCGCTGACCACTTTCCTCGAGGAAATCTAATCAACCGCCGAAACGTTTGTTTCGGAGAATTGCGAAGATCCAAATCGAGGCAACTTCCGATCGGGAACAGAACGATGTGCCGACGCCATCTTCCCGCGAGAAATACAAAAAATTTCTCCACTTCTCCCTCGTGCCTTTCTCTCTTTTTTCCCATTTTTCCCTCGCCTGCTAAGTTTCTCCAAAGCCTGTATCTCCGAAAGTTCTCGCCTCTCGAAAAACAGGTAATTAAAATTTCCCGACGTGCATCTATCTATTTATTTATTTATGCACTATTATAATTTATTTCCTTTTTATTTTTCTTTATATCGTCTGTATCGTTATATTCATCATAGTCATCATCATTATATTTAGTATTTTAAATGAAACTTTGCACTGCTATAGGAAATATTAAAATAAAATTACTTTGTCCCTCAATTCATCTATAAACGATCGTAAAATTAGTTTTAAACAGTGTCGTCTTTATCTCGTCGAAAAATGTTAAATATTTCCAGTGATAAACTTTCGTGTGCAAAGGGTTAACAGCTTTCGCCACTAAGGCGCCAACTTTGCAAGTCCGGGGGAACACGTTTTGAAAAATAAATCGGTTGTATCGAAGTCTGCTAAGTTTCTCCGAAAGTTCTCGCCTCTCGAAAAACAGGCAATTAAAATTTCCCGACAAACAAGTATGGCCGCCTATCGACACCTAGACCCCTATCTCCCTCCCCCCGCCGCCCTGCGTCGATAACGCGTCGCCTGTAAACCATAACGGGTCCGGTGTAGTCCAGTTACGCTAATTTCGTGTCGTTACCGTGGCGGCTCGCTCGACGACAGCCCGTCTCGGGAATGCTAATTCAATGAACTCTCCCGTCCTCTCCCTTGATCTTGCCCCGTGAACTAACTAACCCAGTTTCTCGGCTCGCGATTACGCTCGTTCCAGAGCTGGTTTTTCCGCGCGTTCCGGAGATCATTGCCAATCAGTGGCCAACCGATTTCCCGGTCGTCGTTTGTTCCGTTCGCGGCTGTCGCGATGTCGAAACGACGCGAGGAGACTTCTCCGCTCGATCGTTCCGTCGCGATCTCTTCGGTTTACGACACGTGTCGCCGGTGCGTTCACTGCGGGTTTCGTGGAACGGTTTTTAACACTAAAACTACCGTACCGGTCAGAGTCGAGCTGAACGATTGAGTTTCCGCGATGGATTTTTAAGATTCTTTTAATAATCTTTCTCATCCTTAACACGAGAAGCAATTTTAGATGTCAGATTTTAACGATGTCAGGGTTTCTAGAAAATGTCTCTCAAAATTCATTCGTTTTACTTAAAAATACGCTTGAAGTCATCCATCTTGTGTGTAATAGAATGAGGTATTAACACTAGAACTACCGTACCGGTCAAAATGACTGGTTTCGGATTTTTTGCTTCGCAGTTATCGATGTCTTCGAAGCATCGAATGCTCGAAATGATCTTGAAAATGAATAGTCTTAGTATTGAATACTGTAACGAATGTCTGAAGAAACAGAATAATTTATTACAATTTTTATAGAGGTTACAATTGTATTAAATCGGTTCTAGTGTGGCTGTTTGTCTATTTTTCTCTGATTTTGAGAATTTTTGAAGAGATTATGCGAATTCTATGCATGGTTTTAGAGTATTGCTGATTAATTAGTATCGTTATCAACACTAGATTTACTGATACCGATCTACGAACATTGACACATCTATCTTGAACACTAGGTACATATCCACGCGTGTTTCAGCAACGCGTCCCATAATGTGTAGAGGACTTAAGCGACTGCACGACCATTCCTAACCGCTGCTACGAAATTCACGTTTTCTCGTAGCGTTCTCCGACAGGTTTTTCGTGGTCCGCTCTGGAGACTAGCTCGGCTGTGCTTAGAATGAATCTTTAACCGAGCTGGCAAAGAACCGCCCCAGCGAGGATAGCTACTTTTAAAGTTAGATCAGTTCGTAGCAAGAAACCATTCGGAATTCGCGAGATAAGCTGGAGAATTTGAGAATTGCGTGTGCCGACGACTGTGCTTCGAATTTAATCCTTTGAACTCCGTAGGCTCCAATATTGCACCAGGAATAATATTAGATATTTCAATGAATCTTAAAGAAACTACCCTACAATTATTAGATTTTCACACATCCAAATTTTGCACTAAGAAGGAAAATGGAAGATGTAAGAAGATATAGAGATACTATAAAAATTAATTGCAGTCGCTGATAGATTGCAAAATCATCTGAAGTGCTAAGAGTTAATACTTCAACCACTTTAACCCTTTGAACTCCGTGGGCTCGAGTATTGCACCAGTTCTAATATCAAATATTTTAACGAATCAGACTACTCTAAAATTATTAGATTTTCCAGATATCCAAATTTTCTACTGAGAAGGAAAATAAAAGATAGAAGGGATTTTATAGCATTTCTCATTTTCACTAGGAACACTATAAAAATTAGTCGCAGTCGCTGATAAATTACAAGAGCATCTGGAGTGCTAAGGGTTGATATAGTGAACGTGATACAGGATGAAATTGGTTGAAGAGATAGTGAACAAGGAATTGCGAGCATCGTTGTACTTCGTGCTTCTTCGTTCGAGAAAAGGACTGTAAGAACTTTTGACCGAGGTCCACGGCGCATTATGCTGGCGGTATCAAGTTTATAAAACTGGGTCGACCGAGCGAAGGGACGACTGTTCGGAGACCCGGCAACCACCAGTCCAGGGATACCTAGCGGTGGGAACAGAATTTATGTCTAACTGCGAGGAGAAATACAATGCCTGTTGCACCGACGTCCAATAGACCCTCTACAGTCACCGGAGAAATTGTGACTGTGGAACTTGGTTTTGCAATCTTTATTACACTGCTATTACGAGACCAGATTGAGGAGTCTTCGAGTAAATAAATAAAGTAAGCGAAATCGATTGGGAAATAAGTCTGCTGCTGTAGAAGACGTTGAAAGTAAGTAAATGGCAAAATTGGAAGGAAGAAAGTTATCCAATTAGAAAACTTCGAGACAGAGTTAGTGCTCGATGAATATTATTATTCCTACTCTCTTACTCGTTAAGGAGTTTCTAAAAAGCATACAAACGGATACAAAGAAAATATTATTACCAGTACTACCCTTCTAATGATCAACCAGAAGAGGGTATACTAGACACCAAAAAAACAGACTTTCCACAAAATTATGAAACTTCAAATCTACTAGAACAAACAAACCTACTTCTCTTCTCAAACAAGACTGCACCATACCCCATCCCAACTTCAAAAATAAATACCATACAAGATAGAAAGAAAATCTTACTATTACCATTACTACCCCTTCTAATGATCGACTAGTGAACTTCCCAGCCAACTTCCCACCCCCAAACCCCTCGATACCTGTATCTTAACGCTATCAGTCTTGACGAAATGGAGAGCCCTGCCGATGTTCAGCTTGAGCGTCTCCTCGGGCGGCGCGTGCTCCTCCCGCGGCTTGAAGCAGTTCGAGCAGAGCTCCTTCTTCCAGGCGTTCTGCACGAAGCGGTTGCATTGTGTGGACATCGTTGCTTCACTGCAGCAGCGACAGCGAAAGTCCCGTTACATCATCACCCTGAAAGGAAAAGAGGTGAAATAGTAATCGGCCGATTCCGTGGCTCGCTCGCTCGCTCGCTCGCTCGCCGGTGAACGGAGTGTTTCGTGCACGTGTGCGCAACACATCGGCCAGCCACGAGAAACCACTCCTCCTACACGACCGAGCTGCTCTATCCTCCGGGGAGGCATTACTCCAGATATACAGGGTGTCCTCGAGTGACCCGAACTTCCGATTCCCCCTTGCCAGTTATTTGCTCGGCCCGATCTGACGGTCGAACTTGCGGCGCTCGCTTTAATTAGCAAATTAAAGGGAGGAGAACCGAAAGCAGTTTGTAACGGGATTTACTCGGTAATCGATGGTATGTACGCGTGCATCCCTGAACGCGTCCCGTTGCGAGCCACCCCGATCGCGAGGCCCCGCTGACCTTTGCATCACTCGGTTCTCTTAATTCACTTTGGGCGTACCAGCTTCAAAGGATACTTCCAGTTCATTCGAAGGAGATTAACGGTTTTTTGGCGATTCCGTGTTATGTCGGTAGCTCGTTTAACCCTTTGAAGATTCTTTGAAACGTACTGGACCTTTAGCGGATGAAGCTGAATTCTATATCGATCGAAAATAAAAATAAGGGAACTACGTACTGGTCTATTGCTGTTTGAGTAATTAGATCATTCGTTTGCTAGGTACTGCTCCAATATGGAAATCTGATCTCGCTGACATGCCGACGTTCGTCAAAGGGTTAACTCTTAGCAGTGCTATGTCAGACTCGACATTCTATTTTATTGCATTCTCTACTTGTTTTAACAATTTTTTCTATATTTGTAGTATCACAGTTGTACCATTTAAAGGTAAAATTTCAATGACTCCCAAATATTGAATAAATAAATAGAGCGTCGTATTAAGCTGTAATTGAGTGAACTAACGTCGACGTGAACCTCAAAGTGAAACCGAGAGCACTTCGGACCGCAAAGGGTTAATCTGAATGGTTTTGATCGAGGGCGCAATATTAGAAATTGAAGGAAGCTACGTGTAAAGATTAAGATAGAGCTTTCGTTCTATAAACATTGAACGTTAAAAAGGATATTTGATTCGAAACTCTGGATTAACCCCTTGAACTCTGTAGGTTGAATATTGCACCAGTTATAATATTTAAGATTCATTAAAATATTTAAGAAACTACCCTAAAATTATTCGATTTTCCACGCATCTAAATCTTGCGCTAAGGAAAATAAAAGATCGAAGAAATGTTACAGCATTTCTAATTCTTGCTGGGAATACTATAAAAATTAGTTGTAGTTGCTGATAAATAAACTGACTTGAAGCATAAAATGAAACGAAGTAAACAAAACCAAGATACACTTCACACTAGACTATTACTCTACAATTCACCTGTATCTTTCAAAGAATATCGCAATACAATCCAACTTCCCATTTTTACATACACGTTAACACATAATTTCCCCGTCGTTTCATTTTGTTACCAGAGTCTTGTATCATCCGAAGTTTCCGTTACATTTAAAGCACAGCATCGCGGTGTATCGCACGGTCGAAATAAAAAGATAATTAAACATTTCTTTCCGACGCGTAAAGGTGAAGCCCGTTGATTGTGTACAATGGAAGGGGGCGTAGAAGGAGGCGCGGAGGGTGGAACTTTAATGAAGCACGCGCGCGGCTTACAAATAAAAGCGGCGGAGGGACGGGCTCATTGTTAACGTTGTTCTTTGCAACAAAGTTTGATCGGAAACGAGTTGCATAAATTATACGCCCGCCGGGAACGAGTTTAATCTCCGATACTTCGCGGGCTTCTTACAGAGGCATCGCGTTCATCGCCGGAATACTCGCGCCGGGCTGAACGGCCGGCAATCGCGCGAACAGTTTCCGTGTAAAGGCGTTTGTTCGAATTATTTTCGCTAAGGCGGGCACCGTTGAAATTTCAGACCGACATTTCGCCGGAGGAGGATCGGCTGGATCGCCGCGAAAGATCAGGAGAGCCGGTCTGAAATGTCAGGGCAGCTGTGAACGAAGGTAACGGCGTTGCTGGAACAATTGCTAAACCTATGGGCTTCGTTAAGGCGTTACATATGCATCGGACGGAAATAAGGGTGAGTAACGTGTTCTAGTAAGTAGTGGCTTTTCGAATTTTATAAATAATTGTTTTATACGCAGTAATTTAAAGGCTTAAGATTGGTAATAGGGAAGAGTTAATCTATAGATCACCGGTGACGCCCAATCAAATTGAATCACTATAGTTCACTCAATTAAACAACTATGATTTGCAAACATTTCTATATTACAAATAATGCTACTTAATTTCTTGACATTTACCTAGAAGAACGTGCAATAATAACAATGCAATTCAATCGAATGATTTAATATTATATTTTTTCATTGTGTATTTCGCTCTATGAAATCGCGTGGCAAAGTTTCGTATTTAAAAAACTAAGTCGACGAATGATTTGATTACTCGAACAGCAAAATATCATCACGTAATTTCCTTTTTTGCATTAATTAATTGACAAGTAATTCAGCTTCGTCTGCTGAAGGTTTCCTATATTCCATAGAATCTCCGTCCGCAAAGGGTTAAAAGTGTATCAATACAGTCGCCGACGCTCGCGTTTTTAGCAGCCGAAATTTAGCCGGCGCACAATGCGTTGTTCCAAGCGTACTCCCGAAAGAGTCGACGTTTCCGGTCAGCGTGATACGCAACCCCTTGACGCCGCTCCACCGATGAAAGATAGAACGCTTTTATCCGCGGTCCTGCGGCTGCAAGCTCTCCGAGAAAGTAGTTTACCATTCCGCCGGGAGAAATACGAGCGTACCCGAAGCCGGGTTACCACGGTCGGTTAGTTTCGAAAAAATTCCCACCCCCCGGCGGCGGTCACGTCACGGAATATTCTTCGCCGGCGGTCCCGGGCCGAAAGTCACGGAATCTCCCGGCACTCGAACTTCCCGCGATTTTTATTCAGCCGCGGCGGAGTCAGCGCGGCAGAAAAGTTTCCGCGCCACGGGATCATGGGAAAATGAGTCATCCGCTGCGAGGGGAGTCCCATTTGGCAGCGTTCACCATTCTCGACAATTTACCAGCCGAATCTCGTGACGATGGGAACGGTAATAAATACGGCGCGCTGTTATATAATGGAGGATCTCGAATGGGGTAGCGTGCAATAGCCAGAAGTAACTTTAAACGCAGAAATATTTAACCCTTTGCACTCGGAACTTTTTCTCGTTGGCATTACCGGCAATTCCAAGCAATTTTAACGCTTTGAGGGAGGTGACTCTCAGTCACCACTCGATTTCCTACAGTGAAGCTATGAAGTTTGATGTTTAATATTATACTTCGATGCATTAATTTGAGAAATATTGACGTAAAATAGCTTTGTTCGTTAATTCGCGTGAATTTCTCGTCGAGTTGGTTTTACAAAATATCGTCCTCGTCTCGTCAGAAAATGTTGAAATATTTCTAGTGAAAAATAAAAAGGAAAGTCATAGATATATTTCATTGTTTTTTATCGATTATAGATATAAATGTTATAACATATTTAACCCTTTGCACTCTGAAGTATTTCGTTAGAAATATTTAATATTTTCTAACCAAACACAGACGATATTTTTTAAATTAACTCTAAGAAAAATTGCAAGTGAATTGAGAAACAAAGCTTTTTATTCCAATATTTCACACACTGATACATTATATGCAGTTGAATATTGAATATCAAATTTTATAGTTTTACTACATGAAATCAAGTGGTGACTTTCACAGTTTGTAGTGATAAATTTTAAATGTTAATTTAACGATAAGTTTGAAAAATAGCTTGCGTGAGTCAATGTCTTGCGAATATTCTAAACAGAGACTATCGAAGCGCTGACTAATCGCCGTATCTGATCGTTTAAAATACTTGACTCATTCTGTGGTAGTCTATTTTGTTATTAACACATTTCTTTCAGTAACAGACTTTCGCAACAGATATGTCAGCAACTTCTGCCAATTTTAATAATAGTCCTACCGAAAATTAACAATGTTATAACATTTCTTAGACCTTTATTTCCCTTCTCAGTACAAACTTTGTATATTCGGAGGATCTAATAATCTTAAGGTATTTTCCTTAAAATTCATTAAAATATTTAATATTACTGGTGCAATATTGGAGCCTACAGAGTTCAAAGGGTTAACATCGGTGAAAACCAAATCGGATTATTATAGTTCATTTCAATTAAACGACGATTATTTGACAACATTTCTGTATTATAAACAATGCTTCCGCGATATTGAGCAAGCTCAGCGTGCAATAATAACGCGATTCAATCAAACGGTTTAATATTACATTTTTCCCATTTTGTGTATTTTGCTTTATGAAATCGTGTGGCGTTCGTGTTAAAATATATTACATAACAATATGATATCCGAGATTTTTTATGTATATAAGTTGACCTCAGTGAAAATTGCCATCACAATTCAGTTTTCTGAAAATTACCCGATCCGCAACGTGTTAAGATGGAGTTCGTTGGAAAATATTTCTATGCGAATATTTGGTAAAGTGGAGAGTATGAATTGAATTTTCGAAATGCAGTTTTCGATTTCTTCTAGTTTCCTCAGTTCTCTATAGAATAAATAACCACTGTAATATATATACGGTAACCCGATTATTCCATAAACCAGAGCACGCGTCTTACACGGACAATTGAGTTTCCCGAAAATTATCCGGTGCGCAATACGTACGCACCGACGTCACGGGAAAGCAATTTCCATTCGCAGACGCCTAAACGGCACGCCGCGTATGATTCCGCCCCATCGGAAAGGTTAATCCGACAGAGGCAGCTTTCCTGTCGGCAGCGGCCACCGTGGACGCAATCAGGACAATTGACCCGAGCGGTCCGCTCGACTGAATAATTGCCCGGCTTCCGGTCCCGCTTTTATCCGGCACGGTATCAGCCGACCCCCGACATTAGCCAGCGATACTCGGGACCGTGACACGCTCACCCGGGAAGAGATCGCGAGGAGTCCCTTCTCTCCATCGAAACCC